TACAGTAGAAGATCCTTAGACGGGCAGATGGGGAAAGGTGAAGGTATCCTGCGAGGAGGCAGACTATCGGAGGAGGTGAGGACTACCCCAAAGACCATCATATTGGGGTGAGTCAGAGGCCCGCGAGTGGAGGCAACACCTTAAGGAGGAGAAGGAGGCAGTAGTGAGGGAAGCAGAGGAGCGTCGGGCATGGTGTGTGGAAGAAGTCCGGAGGAGGGAGTACCTCCAGGAGCTTGGACGCCCTTTGAGAGAGAAGGGGAACCCCTATGGGGAGCGACCCAAGATGAGGAGACCCTACCGTTATCAGGGACTGAAGAAAGGGAGCTCCTGGAAGAGGCAGGGGACCCCTTCTTGCATGGACCGTGGGAAAACAAATCCTTAAACCCTTTTGACACAGATGTTTGGTTGCCCTTGCATCACCCGTTGGTGACACGAGAGAAATTACATGATGAACAGTTGAATGAAGCATTACGGTTAAATGAATCAATAAACTCAAGTTTTGTTTAGACTCCTGCTTTATTTGAAAAAGAGAAAGAGGCTGTATGCAAACCCTCTGTCATGAGTGCAGCTGAAGACCTGGAACCAGAAGGGTTAACTGAGGCTGAGGAGAATGCCGAGCAATCAGAAACACCTGAATCGCCTCCAGATTCTCCTTCCCCAGCAGACAAGCTTCGGGCCAGGCTTCAGGGAAGACTTAGGACAAAAAGGTCAGAGGATTGCTCGAAGGCTGTCCACAGAAACATCCGGTCAACTAGCCCTGAGTATTGACAGGATGGAAAGGTTTCCAGCAGCAAGGGGCTGTTTTACTATAAAAACAGCTCCTAGTCAGCTAGAATTTCGTGGAAGCAACAAGTCAAAAACCTCTGACTTGTATCCACGCTCCTACAACCTTGAACTGTGTTTCCTGAACTCTGGACTTGGACTTTGGACTACATTGTGTGTTTGACCTTGGACTCTGACCTTGGACTACGTTGTGTGTTTGACTCTGGACTCTGACCTTGAACTACATTCTGTGAGTTGGTTTGGTAATTGGATATCGGCTTTGCATTCCTAGTATTCCTCACTTTGAACTGGCTTATTGGACCTTGGCTGTTGTAACCCCCAGGAACGTGACACCCTCATACAGATACTGAAAACAAATTCTGTTTCTGTAAAAATATTTTAAAAGGTATTTTTCAAATGGAGAATAAATATTCAGAAGCTCAGCCATTTAAGGTATTAAATTATTGGTTTTTTTGCTTTGTGGCTGGGGATGGTCTTACAAAGCTTTGGTGCCTGTTGCACCAATCTCATCATTATACAATTGTTTAGCAATTAAGAAAAAAACTCTGAAGATGCTTTGTGCTATCAAGTCACTTTTGATATGTGGTGATTGTATGAGTTAATGACTTCCAAAATGTCCTATGATTAAGAGCTCTGCTCAGAACTTACAAACCTTATACAGTATTAGGTTCTCTCTTCCTACTTCTGCCCACTTCCTTCCTAGTAATATTGTCTTTCCCAATAAGTTCTACTCAGATCTTATTTATTAATTAATGTTATTTATTTAACTTATATGCCGCCCACTCTACCCAAAGATCTCTGGGTGGCTTACAACAATTAAAATACAATAAAAACATAAAGCAATTAAAATACAATTAAAATATATACTCTAAAAATGCCATTGGGACCCACAGTTGATATTATTATCTTGCAAGCTAACAGCTGTGGTTTCTTTTGTTGATTCAACCCATCCCATGCTAGGTCTTCTTTTCCTACCGCTCTACTCCACATTTCCCAGCAATATAGTCTATTCTGGTCACTTCTGCATTTTCATTATACA